CGGGGCAGGGGGCGCAGGGGACCGAGTGCCGTCCCGGCTGACGGAGGCGCGGCGGGCTGCGGGAGGCTGCACCTACTTGCGACGCTGCAGTCCGAGTGCGCGGTGTGCGGGTGGCCGAGCCCTGGATCTCCCGCGCGCAGCCAATCAGCTCGGCGCTGCCGGGAGCCGCTCTCCATACCGCGTCAGTCAGCCGCGCAGTTAACCAATCGCCGAGCCGGCCAGAGGGATCGGTTTACTAGAACTAGACACAGGTCAACACCCCTTAAAAAGCAAAAGCAAAAACTAAGCAAATACTTCGAAGAAGGCAAATGCTGAGAGAAGAGGGTAGTTAAAAGCGTGCGATGGATAAAGACGATGTTGAACGCTGTAATTAACGTAAGTCAGTTTGTTAAAAATAAAAGGAATTTTCATAATACTTGCAAATTGATGCAATTGTGAAGACTTTTTTTTTTTACACGTTTTCCTAATTCCAAGCAACAGCGCAACGGACCAGCAGCTCTCCACCCCACGGTTTATTCTTTGCTGCTTATGTACAGAGGTGGGCTGCTTCTCAGCTACTCGGATGAGCAGGCTGAACTTAGGGAACAGGTCTTTTAAGTTCCCCCAAATGAGCCTGGGCTTTTGCAAAGTGTAAGAGAAAGTGGTGTTTGTGGCTGTGTTCAAAACGCAGTACCCTTCCAGGTGACAGGGGGCAGAAGGGGAAAGGAGCTCACTGTGGAGGACAATACTGCTTGTTTTAGTTAGTTTGGGAGGACAGTTTGCATTTCTAAATGATATTTTTAAGACCCTACACAAGTCCCAGATCAGTGGAAGACATCTGCACAAACACATACACGCTGACATGTTTGTGAATTAGAAAGCCAAAGCACTAAAAACACATGATCACTTCTCGGCATGTCTGGGTGGATACCAGCTCTATCAGTTAGCTAGATAAACACGCCAACTCAGAGGTAGTCTGGGTCAAAACGAAAGATGTCTCCACCACCCCTCAACAAGGCAGAAACCCAGCAGGCAGGAATAGCCGGACTGTCCTCTAGGCTCCCCTGTCCCCCTAGTCACTTCCTGGAAATTACTTGAGTGCCTTAGAATCAGAGAGCTAGGGGGTGATGGAGAACTGGCCAGAGTATGCACAAGCAGTTCTTGAAGCTCTCTGGGTCTCCACATGCTATGTCCTTCAGCGTGGCTGGAGGGGTAGCCAAGGATGCCCTGTGGTGCCACACCAGGCGGCAAATGGACTGCCACTCTTAGTTGGAAAGCAGGACACAGTTGGAGGTGCTGCTGACCCAGGCGATTTGTTTATAGAACTTTAGGAACTCTTATTTTCAACTCTATAGACCTGATTTCTTGGTTCCAAGTAAGAGCCCTGGAGCTTGCAAAGATGCGGGGATATTTTTCTTAAAGCAAGCATGCACACACTGACACTGGGACTCCATCACACAATCGGGAAGCGGCTGCAGATGGCCAACACATCTGTCCTTCCCTGGAAAGTGAAAGGCGCCCAAAGCCAAACAGGCTGATTTGGGTAGAGGGAAAGGTGCAGAACAAGGCTGTGGATGGCCAGGGGTTAATCAAGAGACAGTCTGCAGTGCTGGCCCTGCCTGAGGAGCTGGGGAACCACATTCTTCATAGAGCCTAGAGTCTCTCAATTCAGCAACAGTCAGGGCTAAAAATGTTTGCTAGAAGGTTCTTTTTCTCTCCCCTGGTTAGACCCTCTTTCCAAGCTAAAGTGTCTGTTTGCTTGCCCGTTGGAAAGATTAGCATTGATAGATAAAGAGCCTTTCTTTGACCTCTGAATCGAGATTTAGCCCACTCTTCACTCACCTGTGTACAATTCTCCCCGACAGCAGGAGGACTTGGGTCTACCCTCTGCTACAGTGCTGGGAGTGCATGCAGGTCAGTGGCCTCTGATGGCTGTACAGTCCCCAGTCAAGAGTCAGCTGCACAAAGCCATTCACAGGAAGAGCTGACCTGCATCCTGGCGGCCTTGTTGACTGTGGCACTAGGCCGGGGACACAATTGTCAGGTTGGATGAGGAATGTCAGCGGCTATATTTTCCTGAGTCCTCCGAAGGACCAGCTGGGAAGGGAAGGCTAAGTCTTGACCCCGCTGATAGACATCCATCCGGTTTGAGATGGAAAGTGTCCCTGTCCGTCACACTGCAGGACAGTGGCAGCCAAGGCAGGCCACACCTACATTCTAGTTTTCATCTCTAGACTGCAGGAAGATTTTTTTTGTCGGGACCATCAGCTTCCCAATAATGACACGGAGACTTATTAATTATGATGATTGGTTAGTAGCTGAGGCTTGTTTCTAGCTAGCTCTTATAATTTAAATTAACCTGGTTTTTTTTTTTTATCTATTTCTTTTACGTGGCTCAGTTACCTTTACTTTGGAGTGCCCATGCTGCTTGCTCTGTGCCCTTGTGTTTCCCCCTTCTTCTTCCTAGGGTCCTCTCTGCCTGGAAATCCTGCCTAGCTATTGGCCATTCAACTTTTTATTAAAACAATCAGGGTGACATATCTGTACACAGTGTAATCAAATATCTCACAACACTAGACCGTACACTTTAAAATCTAATCTCCCTTTCTCTGATAGTGTATATACAAGAGAAAGTGCTAGAACAAAGAATTTTTTAATGCTTTAAATTTTTTTAAATGTTTAAAATGCTACTGTCCTAACGCAGCTCCCAGAAACCTTGGTTTCTGAGTTTGAGAACTATAAACCAGGAGAAGCCCGTGGCTTCCCCCTGTCCTAATAATTCAAGTGAGCAAGGACAAAATGAAGCTTTACCGCTGTCTTCTTTCAACCCTGCCCATGGAAACTGGGAAGGGCCACGCCTCTTGCTTCATATCAGCTTAAGGGGCATTTACTAGTCTCAAAGCTGACTAGTCTCAAATCGGGACCACTGAGGGGCCTCCTGGTACCTAGCTGGTGGCCTCTTTCCACACAGAGAACTTAAAACCAGGAGAGGAGAATCCTGCCTCAGCTGTGGCCGATAGAAGGGGGCTCCAGGTCATGGCTTCGTGGCTCAAGGCATTACAGGACACCACAGGGCAGGAGACGCTAGTTTTGAGTCACCCTTGTGATCATGGCAGGAAGTGAAAGTGAAGCGGCAGGAGGCCCATAAATCTGCCCGAACTGTACCAAGGGCCAAGGGCCAACTCGACTCCAGAGCACATGCCTTGGGGCCATGCGCTAATTTACCTAACCCTCACTGGTAACCGGGTAGATGTCTGCTGCCCTCATGGAGGGTTTCAACAGAAGCCCACTGGGATATAGATGAGGTGCTAGAGGAAAAGAGCAAGCTCCCCCCTCTGGGAAGCCCACCGCTGCCCCCTGTGAATGCTGTCTTCTCTACCATAAGTACATCCCAGCTCTGCCTGACTGACCAATGCCTCAGTCCTCCACTACTGGAGTGGTACCACTCGCCTGTGCAACCAGCCACTTCTCCCCCTCCCACCAGTTCCCGCATAACCATGCAGAGGTTTATATAAATTATAAATGTTCGGCCAATGACTCAGGCTTATTACCACTTAGTTCTTACATTTAAATTTAATCTGTATTTCTGTTCTGTGCTTTCCCATAGATTTCTTATCTACACTTTTCACGGCATACAGAAAGACACCCCACAGCATACCTGGGCTAAGGCAAGGCCTACTTTCTAGCAAGCTACCTTTTTATACTCCTCCCCAACTCTCTTTGACGTGTGTTATCATATTTGGGTCTCCGCAAAAGCCTCCGAGTTGCTGTGAATGCAGTCTTTCTAACTCACAGAAGAAGACACATGGATTTAGAGTGGTGGGGCTCTTGCCAGTAGCCCAGTACCCAAAGCACTCGAGAGCAGGGCGGTCTAGAATCAGGAACAAAGGCCTTTGGACTTTGCACTAAATCTGACTGCTTTGCTAAGTTCCTGGAGAGAGAGAGCGCGCGCCCTGGAACACATTTGGTAGTTAGTGACCTGTTACTGTGAATTCGCATATCCAGAGCTGCTTAATCAGAACGCTATATAAATCCCATGTGTATTTAAAATAGAGTCGCACCACCTTGGGGACCACTCCCCTGCACCGGGGTTTCTGCTGGAGTGCCCCCCACCTCCCCACCCCCACCCCCGCTTCCACCACATGCTGGGACAGCCTATTTTTTCACTCATTGGCTACGTCAGCCTGTGAGCTCATGTTGTACTGCATCCCTCCATCTTGCAGCCCTTTAGTGAGTCCTGTGGAGGCCCACTGTCCCGGAGGTAAGACCGAACGTGGAGGGGGTCCATCAGCCTCCGAGAGTCCAGAGAACTCAGAGGGTGGCACGAACTCACACTCTTGGGTGGGAAGAGGAAATGGAGGCTTCGGATAACATCTAGTACTTTCACACCCTATCACACACACTCGCTGTCTGCCTCTTCACAAGAATGGCCTTTCATCAAACCCTCTGACAACCTCAGTGTTACAGGAAAAGCAACAGTGTCCCACCAGAAAACTACAATTTGTCTGTCAGGCCCTTTTGTAGCCATGTCACTGAATTGCTTAACACACAGTCTAAAGCTACACAGGTAGCGATTTTCCAAATAGATCACTCAGCCTTGGCGCGTGGTTTTTAAGCTCC